TGTGTACTATATATTGTATCTTAAGCTGTGAGTGTGCTGTATATTGTATCTTATACTGTGTATACAGTGTGTGCTATATACATTGTATATTGTACCGTGTGTACTATGTATTGTATCTTATACTGTGTATACTGTGTGTGTACTATATATTGTATCTTACGCTGTGAGTGTGCTATATATTGTATCTTATACTGTGTATACAGTGTGTGCTATATACATTGTATATTGTACCGTGTGTACTATGTATTGTATCTTATACTGTGTATACTGTGTGTGTGCTATATACATTGTATCTTGTACTGTGTGTGTACTATATATTGTATATATACTGTGCATACTGTGTATACTGTGTGTTTGTGTGTAACTGTGTATACTATGTGTACTATATATTGTATCTTATACTGTGCATACTGTGTGAGTGTTGCATACATTGTATCTTACACTGTGTGTGTGCTGTATATTGTATCTTACACTGTGTGTGTGCTATATATTGTATCTTATACTGTATGTGCTGTATATTGTATCTTACACTGTGTATACTGAGTTTGCAATATATTGTATCTTACAATGTATATACTGTATGTGCTATATACATTGTATATGTGTGTGCTATGTATGGTATCTTACACTGTGTATACTGTGTTTGCTATATATGGTATCTTACACTGTCTATACTGTGTGTGCTATGTATTGTATCTTACACTCTATATACTGTGCGTGCTATATATTTTATCTTACACTCTCTATATGTGTCTGCTATGTATACTGTATCTTACACTGTGTATACTGTGTGTGCTATATATTGTATATGTGTTTGCTGTATATTGTATTGTTCACTGTGTATATTGTGTTTGCTATGTGTTGTATATGTGTGTGCTATTTAATGTATATTTCACTGTGTATACTATGCATGCTATATATTATATATGTGTGCAGGTCCTGCAATACTGTATCTGTCACTGTATACTATGCTCACTATACTATAAAAAGCAGAGCATGTTCTGCTACACTGTGTGTGCAGACTCAACTATACTGTATATGTCACTGTGTACACTGTGTACACAGAAACATTTAAATATATAAAGGGAATCAACACAGTAAAGGAGGAGACTATATTTAAAAGAAGAAAAACTACCACAACAAGAGGACATAGTCTTAAATTAGAGGGACAAAGGTTTAAAAATAATATCAGGAAGTATTACTTTACTGAGAGGGTAGTGGATGCATGGAATAGCCTTCCAGCTGAAGTGGTAGAGGTTAACACAGTAAAGGAGTTTAAGCATGCATGGGATAGGCATAAGGCTATCCTAACTATAAGATAAGGCTAGGGACTAATGAAAGTTTTAGAAAATTGGGCAGACTAGATGGGCCGAATGGTTCTTATCTGCCGTCACATTCTATGTTTCTATGTTTCTATGTTTCTATGTTTCTATGAATACCTTTCTATGCTGTATATGACACTGTGTAGACTGTGTGTGCAGACCCTGTTGTACTGCATCTGTCACTGATTACACTGTGTGCGCAGACCCTGCTTTACTATATCTGTCACTGTGTACACTGAGTGTGTAGTGTCTGCTATAATGTATCTTTCACTCAGTGTGTGTGCAGTGTCTGATATACTGCATCTATCACTGTGTTTGTGCAGTGTCTGCAATACTGTATCTGCCACTGTTTGTATAGTTTCTGCTATAGTTTGTGTATGTGTGTGTATGTGTGCGTGTATGTGTGAGTGTGTGTGTGTGTGTGTTGCCTGCCATACTTTATGAGGTCTGATCACCTGTTTGGAGAAAGATACAATAACCCATGAATTGTTTGTGTTTTAGATCTGGGTGTTTCACTGCCCCATGTGCTAGCAGAGAGGGAGATGGCCTAATAATTACATCAGGCTGAGTCTAAGGCAGCCAGACAGCTCACACATCATCTGAGAGGATTATTGATCTCGTTCTCCCAGGCTGAAATATTTACTGAAAGGGACTTATTTCCTCCCATAGTAGCGGCTGCATCATGGTAAAGGCAGGCAAAAGCAGGGTGAGTAGGTGCCAGCTGCTGCCAGGCTCTCACCATGCTGTGTGCAATGTCTGCCCATGCTGCTGCTGCACTCTGTCTGTCATAGACCCAGAACAAGGATCTGTCACCTCTTACATTGGAATGAATTCCTACTGAGATTTCCTGCCAGGCAATACTTGGATCTCTCAGCCTGTGATGCCAGGTCCAGTAACTCAGTGTGCCAGAGATTGTCTGTGTGTCAGTGACCCCAGGTACTGTAACTCAGTGTGCCAGAGATTATCTGTGTGTCAGTGATCCCAGGTACAGTAACTCTGTGTGCCAGAGATTATCTGTTTGTCAGTGACCCCAGGTGCAGTAACTCTGTGTGCCAGAGATTGTCTGTGTCAGTGATCCCAGGTACAGTAACTCAGTGTGCCAGAGATTGTCTGTGTGTCAGTGACCCCAGGTACTGTAACTCAGTGTGTCAGAGATTGTCTGTGTGCCAGTGATCCCAGGTCCAGTAACTCAGTGTGCCGGAGATTGTCTGTATGTCAGTAACCCCAAGTACTGTAACTCGGTGTGCCAGAGATTGTCTGTGTGTCAGTGATCCCAGGTACAGTAACTCTGTGTGCCAGAGATTGTCTGTGTGTCAGTGACCCCAGGTACTGTAACTCAGTGTGCCAGAGTTTATATGTGTGTCAGTGACCCCAGGTGCAGTAACTCAGTGTGCCAGATATTGTCTGTGTGTCAGTGATCCCAGGTACAGTAACTCAGTGTGCCAGAGATTGTCTGTGTGTCAGTGACCCCAGGTACTGTAACTCAGTGTGCCAGAGATTGTCTGTATGTCAGTGACCCAAGGGGCAGTAACTCAGTGTGCCAGAGATTGTCTGTGTGTCAGTAACCCCAGGTACTGTAACTCAGTGTGCCAGAGATTGTCTGTATGTCAGTGACCCAAGGGGCAGTAACTCAGTGTGCCAGAGATTGTCTGTGTGTCAGTGATCCCAGGTACAGTAACTCTGTGTGCCAGAGATTGTCTGTGTCAGTGATCACAAGTGCAGTAACTAAGTGTGCCAGAGATTGTCTGTTTGTCAGTGATCCCAGGTACAGTAACTTACTGTGCCAGAGATTGTCTGTGTGTCAGTGACCCCAGGTACTGTAACTCAGTGTGCCAGAGATTGTCTGTGTGTTAGTGATCCCAGGTACTGTAACTCAGTGTGCCAGAGATTGTCTGTGTGTCAGTGATCCCAGGTACAATAACTTTGTGTGCCAGAGATTGTCTGTGTGTCAGTGATCCCAGGTACTGTAACTCAGTGTGCCAGAGATTGTCTGTGTGTCAGTGATCCCAGGTACAATAACTTTGTGTGCCAGAGATTGTCTGTGTGTCAGTGACCCAAGGTACTGTAACTCAGTGTGCCAGAGATTGTCTGTGTGTCAGTGATCCCATGTACAGTAACTCAGTGTGCCAGAGATTGTCTGCGTGTCAGTGACCCCAGGTACTGTAACTCAGTGTGCCAGAGATTATCTGTTTGTCAGTGACCCCAGGTGCAGTAACTTACTGTGCCAGAGATTGTCTGTGTCAGTGATCCCAGGTGCAGTAACTCAGTGTGCCAGAGATTGTCTGTGTGTCAGTGATCCTAGATACAGTAACTCAGTGTGCCAGAGATTGTCTGTGTGTCAGTGATCCCAGGTACTGTAATTCAGTGTGCCAGAGATTATCTGTTTGTCAGTGACCTCAGGTACAGTAACTCAGTGTGCCAGAGATTGTCTGTGTGTCAGTGATCCCAGGTACAGTAACTCAGTGTGCCAGAGATTGTCTGTATGTCAGTAATCCCAGGTGCAGTAACTAAGTGTGCCAGAGATTGTCTGTGTGTCAGTGATCCCAGGTACAATAACTTTGTGTGCCAGAGATTGTCTGTGTGTCAGTGACCCCAGGTACTGTAACTCAGTGTGCCAGAGATTGTCTGTGTGTCAGTGATCCCATGTACAGTAACTCAGTGTGCCAGAGATTGTCTGCGTGTCAGTGATCCCAGGTACTGTAACTCAGTGTGCCAGAGATTATCTGTTTGTCAGTGACCCCAGGTGCAGTAATTTACTGTGCCAGAGATTGTCTGTGTCAGTGATCCCAGGTGCAGTAACTCAGTGTGCCAGAGATTGTCTGTGTGTCAGTGATCCTAGATACAGTAACTCAATGTGCCAGAGATTGTCTGTGTGTCAGTGATCCCAGGTACTGTAATTCAGTGTGCCAGAGATTATCTGTTTGTCAGTGACCTCAGGTACAGTAACTCAGTGTGCCAGAGATTGTCTGTGTGTCAGTGATCCCAGGTACAGTAACTCAGTGTGCCAGAGATTGTCTGTATGTCAGTAATCCCAGGTGCAGTAACTAAGTGTGCCAGAGATTGTCTGTGTGTCAGTGATCCCAGGTACAATAACTCTGTGTGCCAGAGATTGTCTGTGTGTCAGTGACCCCAGGTACTGTAACTCAGTGTGCCAGAGATTGTCTGTGTGCCAATGTATTTTAGTATGAGTGTGCCACAGCTACAATTATTGTGTCCGAGTAGATCTCAGTGTGCCTGTGGATCTCATTGTTTCTGTGGATCAGTACAGTAGCTGAGTGTCCATGTCAGGAGATTTTCATGGAAAAGGTCACTATTTCATAATCACAGGCAGTAAGAGGTCAAACTTTTATTTTTGCTAACAATTGGTAAGCAGGCTGCAAAGCATCATAGACCCTGGCACAATCCACTCCAGGTTTGGCTATTAGGGCAATTTGAATATGTTTTGTGACAGAGGTGACTTTGCTAATATTTTGCATTTCACTTACCTTTTGTTACGTATATAGACAGGCAATCATTAAGGGGGCGGGGGAGGATAAGGGTGAAACGCCTTAATGAAAGTGGTGGTACACACAGCCAGGGCTGCCAATTTACTGACAGGAAACTAATGGCACTTCTGTTTAATACACACTTACTCTTTGATTTACATCCAAAAAGAATGAATTTCATCCAAAGGGTGATAATCACTGGAACGTCAGCATTCTGCACTCAATAAACTGGATTATAAATTAACAGATTTTACCTGTAAAACGTTTACAATGGAACACATAATGTACTTTAAGGCTATTTATCACTTCAGCATTGAAACACTGGCATAGAAAGCCAAAACATGGAGCAACAAGTGTACAAGTAACAAGTGAAGAGTAACGTTAATTACAACTAACAATTAACTGACCAAACAGTTCATAGCTTAATTTTATTTTCTCAATTACATTATTTTAGCAATAAATATATCTGCATTTATTTAGAAAGTAATTTGCATGGGCAAATAAAAGGTTTCTCTAATTTTAACCCCTTCCCTACCTCGGCTCATCAGGTACGTCCAACAAAAAATGGTCCTTAAGGACTGCGGACGTCCCTGATACGTCTGCGGCAAATGTGAGCACTGGATAGTGATCGTTTCTAGCTGCTCTGATGGTATTGCACGATGCCTCGATGTCGAGGAATCGTACAATACCCCTCCTTACGGCCGGGTATGATAGTGATCGCTATATACTTACATCTATATATAATAAGTCTTATATCTAATATATGTCTTATAATCTTATATATAACATCATACTAAGTGTATATTTTTATTAATATATACATATATTCATATAAAATTACACTTAGAGTAAAATTACACATGTATATATATATACAATAAATATATATTGTGTATATATCTATAATTATAAAAAGAAGTCCTCCTGCAAAAGTTCTGGTCACCCCGGCCCCCAAGGCCATGTGAACACTATGATCACATCGTCGCAATAGGAGTCCAGGAGCTGCCAGCAGCTCCTAGCCTGCCTTTGTGACTAACTGGCTACTAAAAAAGACTTGAAATACCCCATTTTGAATACCCTGGGTTGTCTACATTTGAAAATGGTATGTCATGGCGGGGGTAATTCACATTCTTAGGCTACCATATGGTCTCAAAAGGCAAAACAGACCCAGCAAACCAATCTGGCAAACTGAATTGGGCAAGCCCTATATTGATACTGTAATTTTCCTAAACACCAAAAAACCTGTACATGGGTGGTATTGTTATACTCACTGAACACAAATATGAGTGTTTAGAACAATAAAACTTATCACGACGATGAAATCACCAGTAAAAGTGCAGTTTTTGTGTAAAAAACAAATATGAACGCTAACTTTGGCAAGCGTTTTAGGCTAAGTGGCTACTACAAAAGACTGGTTGTAACCCCATTTTGAATACCCTGGGTTGTCTACTCTTACAAATGGTATGCCATGATTGGGTTAATGTTCATTCCTGGGCTGATATACGGTCTCAAAGGCAACATAGGCCAAGCAAACCAATCTGGCAAATTTCAATGTGCAAAGCCCTACATCTGTAAGTTTGCAAAAACCCATACAACCTGAAAATTGGGGGCACTGTTCTACTCGGGAAATGTTGCTGAACACATATTGGGGTGTTCTTTGTCAGTAACACATGACAGAAATTGAGAATCTATATCTAAAGTACAATGTGAGAGAAAAATAACACAAAAAATTACTACCCAAGCCTTTGACAAAGACTGGTGGTAGAATTAGTGCATGAAAGTGTTAAAATACCACCATTATACCCTAGGGTGTCTACCTTTCAAAAATATACAGGTGATACTCGAAAAATTTGATTATCGTGCAAAAGTTCATTTATTTCAGTAATGCAACCTAAAAGGGGAAACTAATATATGAGATAGATGCATTACATGCAAAGCAAGATAGTTCAAGCCGTGATTTGTCATAAGTGCGATGATTATGGCTTACAGCTCATGAAAACCCCAAATCCACAATCTCAGTAAATATTGTGAAAAAGTGCAATATTCTATGCTCACACTCTAATCAGCTAAGTAAGCTATAACACCTGCAAAGGGTTTCTGAGCCTTTAAATGGTCTCTCAGTCTGGTTCAGTAGGAATCACAATCATGGAGAAGATTGCTGACCTGACAGTTGTGCAGAAAACCATAATTGACACCCTCCATAAGGAGGGAAAGCCTCAAAAGGTAATTGCGAAGGAAGTTGGATGTTCCCAAAGTGCTGTATCAAAGCACATTTATAGAAGGTCATGTGAAAGGGAAAAGTGTGGAAGAAAAAGGTGCACAAGCAGCAGGGATGACCGCAGCCTGGAGAGGATTGTCAGGAAAAGGCCATTCAAAAGTGTTGGGGACTTTCACAAGGAGTGGACTGAGGCTGGAGTCAGTGCATCAAGAGCCACCACACATAGACGGATCCTGGACATGGGCTTCAGATGTCGTATTCCCCTTGTCAAGCCGCTCCTAAATAACAAACGTCAGAAGCATCTTACCTGGGCTAAAGAAAAACAGACCTGGTCTGTTGCCCAGTGGTCCAAAGTCCTCTTTTCTGATGAGAGCAACTTTTGCATCTCATTTGGAAACCAAGGACCCAGAGTCTGGGGGTAGAATGGAGAGGCATACACTGCAAAAGGAAGGTAAAATACAAAAAAATGGGTAAAAGAAGGGAAAAGAGAAACAAAAGAGGAGTAAGAGAAAAAACTCAGATGATAGGAACCTCTTTACTTACTGGATGTGTGGTATGAAACCAAATAATCTGCTGGTCCCCTGTACCATTATGGTTATGTAATCAAAAATGTTTTACCTTAATTTGGCTCAAAATACATTAAAATAGATGTATCACAGATATACATGATATATTCAATGTAAAATATTGAGATATATTCTCCTCTCCTCCGTTACAGCACCACCATCTTCTGAACTTCATGGGTATTAATCGTGTAACACCCACCTCCGGTCAATTCTCCTCCAGTCTTCTGTAATTTGCTGTGCTTGGCTATGCTTTCCCAAGAAGTGTAAACTTCCTGTGTGATGCCAACACCCTGGTTTTGTTGCCAACATGCCGGCATCAGTCTTTCAATTCCTATACTCATTAGCCAGTGCTAGCAGTGTTGGCTAGGGAGTTTCCATATACAGGTCTTTTCTGTTCTCCGTTGTTAAAAATTTGACTAATAGGTGGTGGAAACACACATTTTTAAATAGGTTTTTCTCCCATTCTAGACATTTGCTAGCAAATCTTGGAGCACAATATATAGCTGAAATGCGATGTACTCTCAAACGAGCATAAGTAATTTGGGAGATTACAGGTGCCCTTTAGTGTTACTCTACATGGTTTTTTATTTTCGTTTTATGCTACAGAGTGGTGTCAGTCAGGATACATCATGGTCTTCTAATTCCAGCATATAGAGCCATATAGAGAAGGTGCAAGTGAAGTGTTAGAAAAGTATTATGTTTGACAGCTGTTTTGAGTAATACTGTAAATGGTGAATACTGTAATGGTGACTATGTCACATATGGGTTTCTGTGCACTAATCTTTATTCACAAACTGAAATCATCAAGGCAAAAACAGATGCAATTATGTTGGAAATTGTTGAATTAGCAGCAATCACTGTGGAAACCAGTAGGATATGTCGCAACATTTAGAACGTTGTACCGAGAATAGCACGCGATTTGCTATAATAAATCTTTTTACAGTCTCTCTATTTTTAATCACTTCCTTTACTTATGACAAGATTTTATTAAAAAAAAATTTAAAAGTATACCAGACTGTGTGTTTTTTTATTTATTTATTTTCTAGTTTATGTTGGGTTTTTTTCAATTTTTAATAATGCGTATTTTCAGTTGGCAGAAGAGGACAATGTGTGTCTTTTGACCGTGTTATATTTCATAAGTTAAACCTATTATTTATTTCAGTAAAGTGTTTATCTTTTAGTGCCATGTTCCTTTGATACTTTTTGAGGTACTGGTGACACAGTTATCCTCAGTAATCATATCTTGAGGTGGGGGCCTTGCTAAGTTTATGACACGGTTTGGGCACAGGCATTATCCTGGAACATTAAATAAAAGAAGAGGGAGTCTTGACATTAGGAGAAGGAACAGTACACAGACACGTCATATTCTTTAAATATTCAGACACTACACAAGAATTAAAGGATATGTGGACAATTTATAAGTAGTGGATTAACTTGACCCTTTTTAATTAATGATCATCCAAGTTGAGTTAAAGTGGCTCTGTCGCCCCCATCATCAAAAGATATCATAAGAAAAAATATGATTGATAAAGCTTGACAAAAAGGCTGAGCTCTCGACCATTTTACAGGATCCCCTATAAATTTCAGTATTGTATTCTCACTCATGTAACTTTTGATTTTGAGTTACAACTGTGGTGCCAAAAAAAGATGAAAATTGGGAAAAAATATTAAATGTTGATTTTAGGCACATATCAAGAAAGAAGTGATCAATAGAGGAAAATATATTTTCAATAGTGGATCAGTAAAATAAAAAAAATCTATAATTCTATAAATCTATATATATATATAGTGGAATAAACCGCACTCCAGGGACTTGAGTAGTTAGGTAAAACTTAACTTTTATTTAATCCATAAAAAGTATCAAAGTTTCAGCTCACACAAGGAGCTTTCGTGAGGACGAACAAATACTGTGACAGCATGAAAGAATATATGCCCACATAATATCCCCAAAAGAAACACCCACATCCTGTACTCACTGATGAGTAATCCATATCCAAAAAAGCTGACCGTCGCGTGCACCCACTCACCTGTTACTGATATGCTGAAGGCCCAAAGGGGAGGGAAAATCGGGTGTATGCATATCTCTCTGTGTCTCTCCGTTGCTTAGCAACATCTGGAATGCACCGTTAGGAAAGACCGAGCTGACCGGGAGTGGATATCGCATCACTCTCGGTAAATCTCATGCAAGCTTTCATATGGATGATTTTTTTCCCTAGCTGGGGGCCTTGCAGAACAGGCAGAAATATTTCAATACACACTGAACAACATGCTGAGAGGATTAGGTAGGAGAGCTCGAGTACAGAACTGCCCAATAAATCTACACTAAAGGAAATCTATTTTGAGCTATTAAGACTGAAAAAGAGAGAACAGATTTGGACCTGCATGGACTTTTCCTATCTGAGTATCAGAAGTGCCTCCAAATTCCACGAAGATTTAGAATCAAGAATGTACCTACCATAAGTAGGACTTAAACATAAGGTCTGCAAGAGATGGATTTCTGTCCTGAATAAGTGTTCACTCGACTTGATGCTTATTATAATTGAGGACATTAAAGAGGATCTAATAGTCGTTAGAAAGAGGATCACAGAATTGAAAACAAAAGAAGCCCTACC